CAAGCCATGGGCACCCGGACGAGGTTGTACTCGATCCCTGTGGGAAAAGCGGGAAAAGCATCAAGCAGCACCGGAGCAGGCGCCCAGGTGAGGGGTGTCCCTGCAGCGGGGACAGGCACAGCCACCTCCGGTGACCCCACGAGCCGCCGACGCTGCCGTGCCCTCACCGCTCACCGCACGCAGAGAAGTAGGAGCGCAGCAGGTTGTCCTGGGCCGGCCGTGACAGCCGCAGGATGTTCATGGCAGCTGAATCCGAGAGGGACCCGCCGAAGCCCTTCATGCTCTGGTACAGCGTGGTGACGTTGAGGGTCAGCAGCAGCCCTGAGGGGAGAGCCCGGCTCAGCCCGCGGTGCCCGGGGGACCTGCGGTGGCACCGCCGCCCACCTCTCCGAACCTGGCCGTACCTGGGGTGTGCAGGCTGTGCTGGAATTTCCCCTCGCTCCTCTCCAGCCTCTTGCCGGCCTTGCTGCTCTCGTACTTGACGTAGGAGCCGGGGGCCGGCAGGACCAGGGGGTCCAGCGTGTCGCAGTACGTGGCGTTGCAGACACAGACTATCGAGCCGTGGCCAAAATCCCTGGGGATGCAGGGCCGGGCGCCTGGGGGGCACGGGAGGGGAGGGGGTGGCACGGGAGAGGAGGGGCAGCTGCAGGCTCAGCTCTCCCGCCTACCCTGGCTGATGTGCTGCCCCCATGCCTTGCATCCTGCCACCTCCCCAGCACCCGGGTCCATCCTGTCCCCAGGCTCCTGCCCCTACCCCGGGACATCCCGGTGCCCCGGGACATCCCCGTGCTCACCTGCCACCCGGGGCACCGGCATCAGCAGCAGAAGCAGCAGCAGGAGCAGCCAGCCCAGGATACTGAGAGCCCCCATGGCCCCTCCACGTCCCTTCAGCTCCAGCAGGTCCCAGGGAGCAGCACCTGCGAGCAGGAGAACCCTCAGCCAAGGCAGGGGGATGGAGGGACAGGCTGTGCTCCCCTCCGGATCAGCCCCATCTCCCCAGCCCCTGCTTCTGTTTTCTCTGCCAGAGAGCTCCTGCCCCCAGAACACCTTTGTCTTTCAGGTAGGTGAGGTGGGTCCAGCCCACCCACCTTCACCCCGGCTGCTCCCGACCTGTGCTGCTGCCAGCCCTCCTCCTCCTCAGCGGCTCCAGCCTTTACAGGGAGCTGCTCCGAGACCTCCCTCTGCAGCACACCCTCTCCCTCCCCCACAGCTCCTCCTTGCCCTCCTCCCGGCCCGTACCTGCCCCGGGGCCGGGACCATCGAACGTCTCCTCGCCGTGGGGCTGGGGAACACCGGGCCCCCCGAGCCCCCAGCGCCGTGCCAGCAACACAGCACCGGCAGCTCTGCCTGAGTGAAGGGCCCCACCAGCACAGGGAGGTGTCGTGGGGGGAACTCTGGGACCCCTCTGCAATCCCCGAAGGAAGAGCCGATTCCTTTGTTTGGTCGGTCACGGTCTGGACGAGCCCCTGGGAGTCTGGCAGAGCCCAGGGAAGGCTTGTCACAGCTGCCTGTCCTGCTGGGAACCTCCAACAGCATCCTGGACCACCCACTTACCCCTGCCCACCACTCCACTGCCCCCCCTCTCCCCAGGAGCTGCCGTGCATTTGTGTCCAGTGTGGGGAGGGCCCAGGACCCCCGGGTGATGCCAGCAAAACGGCCCAGGGTGGCAGAGGGACCCTGCAGGGATGGCCACACAGGAGCTGGGGCCACTGCCATTCCCTGCCAAAGGCTTTGGAATTGCTCTGCCCTCCTCAGCAGGCCCTGGGGAAGGTGGCAGCAGTGGCAGCAGTGGCAGCAGGTGGGTGATGCCCCAGCTCCCACGCAAGCAGGGCTGTGCTTTGGCCCCTGGCCATGGCAGTTGGACCTACAGACAGGGACTGGGTTCCCTAACACCAGCCATGCCAGGAGCAGAGCCCAGCTGTGGTGACCAGCTGCTCCAGGAGCACTCCTTGCTCCTCTGAGAGGGACCCTCCAGCCCAGGACAGGGTTGAACTGGGCCAGCTCAGCTGGGCCCACAGATCCCACCTGGTCTGGGTCCCATCACCCAGGCTCTGCCTGATCCCATGAACATGTGCCCATCACTGCAGGGACGACCTCAGTATCTCCCCACAGGGGTGGCCCAGGGGACAGAGAGTGGCCACATCCCAACCACAGCTCCCTGGCACAGCTCCAGCGGCCTGGAGTGTCAATCCCCAGGTCAGAGCTCCCCTCCACAGGGTTAAACTGCTCCGTTAGCTCTCCCTGCCCGGGTGGAGCAGCACTTCATGACTAATTTGCTCCTTTCCTGGCATATCAGATGCAGCTCTGGGGCAAGTCAATTCATCAGAGTTCCTCCTGCCCCCAGCACTGCACTGCCATGGGCCCTGCCACGGTCCCACACCTCCGCTGGGAGCTGAGCCACGGGACACCAGCCCCTGCTGCCACCAGAGCTGGGGTAGACAGGGCCAGGAAGCCCCTGGTTCCATCTCACAGGGCAAACAGCTGCCCTGGAAGGGAGCTCCTGGCCCAGTCCTACTGTGCTGTGTATCTCCCACCCCCAAGTGTGATTAAGTTGTCACGCGACTGCTACGCCCAGGCTAATGAGCCCCAGTTTTAGGGAGGGGTTAATAGGTCCTGTGGCCATCAGCCACCTCCCAGCCCACTTCCAGCCACCTGGGATGCCCCACTCACCCTTTTCCGTCCTGAGGTCCTGCTGAGGGGCCAGAGCCCCCCAGCTGGCTCAGGTCCCTGCAGCTCCTGGAAGCAAAAACACTGCGGAGGCTGCTGGAGCTCATCCTTATCAACATCTGGCTGATAAGAGCGTCCTGCCAAGCAGGAAAAGTGAGACCCAGGGGATGGGCAACGCCTCGCACCGCGGAGCCGCTGGCACGGGACGTGCTGGGCAGCCCCACCAAACCCCCAAAATCCGCTTCTTGGGGCCGCTCCCCGCGCACGGGGGGCTGGTGGGGGTCGCAGGGGCCTCGCTGGCATCGTGTGGCCGCCCTTTGCAGCGCACAGGTGGGTTCATTCCGTGCCGGGGCCGAGGATGTGGGCTCAGAGGAGCTGGTGGAGGAGTCGGGGGGTGAATTTTGGTCCCTTAGTCAGGAGGGTGTGGATGGGGACCCTGGGGACACTGAGCTGGGCTGAGTCACCTTTATGGGCATCACGACTCCATAAACACCGAGGCCAAAGAGCCTCAGTGTGGCATCACAGCAGTTCCTTCCCCACAGCTCGTTCCCCGCAGGGGGACCCCGGCCTGGAACACGGAGGGACGCAGACTTTAGGGTGGTCACTGGTGCCAGGCCAGTTCCTGGGGGGCCCCAGCAGCCCCCAGCCACTGTGAGCCCCAAACGAGGCAAGGCTTTGCACAGGAATTAATGAGTCAAGCCCAGCCAAGCCCAGGACTCGCCCCCGCTCCGTTTATCCCAGAGCTGCCCTGTCCTTCAGAGCCGAGCACAGGGACAAGGGCACGCGGACCAGGGTGATTCAGCATCTGGCCACCAGCTGTTAGGACCAGGGCAAGTAAGAAAGAAGAAGGTGAAGGAGCAACCCTGCACCAGGAGCTGGGTGCTGGGAGCGGGATGCTGGGAGCGGGATGCTGGGAGCAGGACGCTGGGAGTGGGGCTCGCTCTAGTTATGATCCTGGAGAAATATTTCCCTCTTGTGGACAAACACAAACAGCCTCGGGGCAGGAGCAGGGTGCTCTCCCTAGGACTCCTCCTGGAGTTGCAGGGTCCCAGGGCTCCCCCCCGGAGCAGTGTCGCTGTGGCACCACGGTGCAGGATGTCCCAGGGTGACTCTGTCACGCACAGACCCCACCTGGGCCGTGCCCAGCCCACGCAGCATCGGGGCTGTCAGCCCTGACAGCACCCCCGGGCACATCCCACCCCCGCAGATCAGCCCAAGGGCCCGGCCCCCCTCCTCGCCCTGCAATTGTGACCTCCCTGCCCTAATCCCCTGCTCCCACGCCCTGCCAGCTCCCTCCCTCCTTCCTGGGTGGACCCACTCTCAGCGCCCACTCCTGGCCCTGGGCCCACTTGCTCAAGCTGCCCCAGCTCCATGGTGGTTGCAGAGCCCCTGGTGCACCCCCACTCTCCTCTCCACAGTGGGGACCCCTCTGCCCAGTCCCCACAGGGGCACAGCTCATGCTCCAGGCAGGGTTGCTGCAGCCTGGCCAGCATCCCTGTCCTGGCAAAGACCCAGGAGCAGCTGGCAACGCCAGAGCCAGCTGGGACCCTGAGCCCTCCACGCTGCGATGCCTCTGGAACTGGCTCTGCCTCCAGCCCTGACCCTGGGAGCACCCTGGGCTGGGAAAAACGTGATTCACACACCCCCTGGCCCGGCATTGGGTTGTGAGTGGCTCCAGCTTGGCAGTAAAAGCATGGAAAGCTGAACCTTGACTGCAACCCCTGCCCAGACCTTCCATCAGAGGGGTGTCCAGGTGTTTTGTTCCTGCTTCTGCTCCTGCTCCAGCACCCAGAGCACCTGTGTGCCAGGTGAATCCTGAGCCACTTGCCAGGTCCTAAAACCTGTCCCCAAAGGCACTGGAAGAGCACCCAGGCTCTGCCCAGCCCCTGCCAGGCAGTACATGCTTGGAACTGGGAGGAGACTGGGAGCACCCCCTGGCACAGTGAGCTCCACAGGGAGCTGTGGGGGGCAGAGGGGGAGCAGGGAGAGGGGCTGCCCCATGGGGTTCCGAGTGTTCCATGCTGCTCTCCGTCCTCCTGCGGGCTCCATGCCCGGGTGGCACCCAGCCACAGTGCCCAGGAGCAGGGGAGGGACCCGGACGTTTCTCCCCCAGCCACGGACACCGAGGCAGCTTCACCGTTTAATGCCAGAACAGCAGAACACAGCGCTCACAGCCTGTGGGGTCTCCACCCTGAGGGGCATGGTGCCCCCGGCCCTCCTGCCACACGCGCGGCGTCCCCGGCCCGGCTCGCTCCGGGCGCTCGGCTCCGAGGAATCGCTCCCCCCGCGCGCCCCGGCCCGAGCCCGCGGGCAGCTGGGGCCGCACGTCCAGCCCGGCCGCGTCCGGCACGTCCACGGGCGCCCCTTCCCCGTCACTGCCGCTGCCACACGTAGGTCTGGATGGAGTTGGCCGGAGCCACGGCGGAGATGAGGCCGACGGTGTCGGCCAGCCCGAAGGAGATGTCCTGGGGGGAGCTGTGGAGGGAGAGCAGGGGGTGTCAGAGGTGCAGCACCCACTGGTGCAGGGCCCACAGCAGGGGCTGGGCCGTGTCACTCACCGGTTCAGCACCACCACCACCACGGCGCCGTCGGGGCGCAGGAAAGCCGTGTGCTCCAGCGCTGTCTTCTTGGACTCTTTGGAGGCAACAAGCCCCACGCGCTGGGAGCCCTCGGGAATGAACTTACTGCACAGACAGAAGCGAGAAGCAACCTCAGGGAGGGAGTCAGCTCCCAGGAGAGCTCCTCTCCCACCAAACCTGCCCCGCTCTCCTCCTGACGAGCTGCTGCGATGATGGAGCTGAAGACCAGGCAGGTGGATGCACGTCAGGGGCCCCGACCCACCTGAAGTGCCCCATGTGGTAGAACATGGGCTGTTTGTAGAAGATGCCTTCACTGCTGTCCACGATGATGGGGCTGTCCACATAGTTCTTGACCCAGTTGGGGCCTCCCTCCAGGTCCAGAGCCAGGTTCCAGTCGGTCCAGCCAGTCACAAAGTGGTTCATGTTCTGCAACAGGACAGCCCAGACATGTGCCCAAGGAGCAGGGTGCCGAGGGGAGAGGGGGCACGCTGGCAGCCCTTCCCAGGGCCCATCACATGCAGTGATGCAGGGGCCTCACCGTCAGGATGCTGTGGCTGTACTGGTTGCCCCGGTCCCAGCAGCCCAGGATCACATCCCGCTCCCAGAAATGGGCTCCGATGGACGCCTCCGTGGCCAGGATGAAGTAGTCAGGGAAGAGCTCGTGAGTGGGCAACACTGTGTCCTGTATGGGACCGATGAAGTCCAGGTACCAGTGGATGCCAATGCCATGGACATAACGAGCTGCCTCTTCATCCTCCAGCACCTGGCGGGGAGGAGAGTTGGTCCTGTGGGGCAGAGCCAGCGCCCCAACCCTTGCACAGCGGGACGGAGCGGCCAAGCCCCCCGTGGGCATGGGGGGCTCTGCCCCGGCTCTCTGTGCCAGCCATCCCTGCCCACACTCACCACTCTGGCCCAGTGCGGCAGGTGGAGCCGGTTGTCGTCCAGGATGATGAGCTGGACGTGGCGGTGGGAGCTGTTGGCCAGCGCCGGGCCCAGGTCGCGGGCGATGAAGTCCCGCTGCTGCTCGGCCGTGAAGCCCAGGCACTGGAAGGGGTAGTTGTTGATCAGCCCGGCCGTGGGCTCGTTCTCTGCTGTCACCGCCCAGAAGGTCAGGTTGTGCTTGGCGTATTCATCCAGGAACCTGGTGTGGAGGGCAGGGGTGAGCCATGGGGGGTCCTCAGTGCCACCACTGAGGGTCCCCCGGGTATCACCCCTGTCCCCTCACCCTGGGCGCTCCTCACCGTACGAAGTAGTTGGCCCAGGTCTTGTGGTACTTGCCCCCCGCCTGCCCCTTCAGCGTCCCCTTCCCTATGTAGGACTCGCTGGTCTTCATCCAGGTGGGGGAGGTCCAGGGGCTGGCGTAGAGCGACAGCGGCCGCTTGCTCATGGCCATGGCTCGGTGCAGGACAGGGATCTGCGGGAGGGGTGGAGGGACTGGCTCAGCTGAGCCCCCTGAGGTCCCCCATCCCACCCTGCTCCCTCCCACTGCTCGCCTTCAGCTTGGTGTCCTCATCCCGCAGGCTGAAGTGCTTCAGCTCATAGTCATAGGGAACGTCGTCGTAGGTGTAGGCGTGGAGGGAGAAGTCGCAGCTGGCCATGGGGAGCCGGACGAGGTTGTACTCCAGCCCTGCCAGGCACAGGGGTGACAGTGGGACATGAGGTCTCCAAAACCTGCCGGCATCCAGGGTCCCTGTCGCCATCCTACCTGTCTCCCTGCGTGTTCTCACCTTCCTCAGAGAAGTACGAGCGCAGCAGGTGATCCTGCGCCTTTTCCGGCAGGGATAGGATGTTGATGGCGGCCGCGTCGGTGACGGAGCCACCAAAACCCTTCACCCTCTGGAACCGCTGCGTCGTGTCCAGGGTAAGGACAACGTCTGCAGGGAGGGGAGCCCAGTGTGACAGAGGGTCACAGCGGGGGCCACCCCATCCCTGCCACCTGTGGCGGTACCTGGGGCGCAGAGTCTGCGCCGGAACCTCCCCTTGCTCTGCTCCAGCCTCTTGCCGGCCTTGCTGCTCTCGTACTTGACGTAGGAGCCGGGGGGTGGCAGGACCAGGGGGTCCAGCGTGTCGCAGTACGTGGTGTTGCAGACGCAGACCATGGCATCGCGGCCAAAGTACTTGGGGCTGCAGGGCCGGGCGCCTGGGGGGCACGGGAGGGTGATGGGGGCAGCCTCGGGGATGTGTCTCTGCCAGTTCTCCCACCTGCCCCAGGCTCCTGCCGCTGCCCCGGGACATCCCGGCGCCCCGGGACATCCCCGTGCTCACCTGCCACCCGGGGCACCGGCATCAGCAGCAGAAGCAGCAGCAGGAGCAGCCAGC